ACTCACCGCGTCGACAGCATCACCAACCTTGGCAACCAGCTTCTGTAGGTCATGTCACGAGCAAGATGCGATTTGGTGGTACAAAAATATTTTTGTTAGGCAGTTGGTGGACGGTTTACACATGTAAACTCGGTGTTTGTGACTAGGTGGTGACGGACGGACGAGAATGGTATGTTGGTAGTTGTTGGTTGTACAAGTTGGCAAAGGATTTGCACACTCTTGGTTCGCCTGCTCGGTTACGTAAAGCCCTTGGCCCTCTCTCCCGAAACATGCCGTGCAAACCTCCAAACACGCGCCCCCGCGCTAAAAAACTCACACACGAACCCCCGCTCCCACTCCTCCATACCTCTGGCATCCCCGCCGCCGTACCATGCCGTACAATCTCGCGGTACGTTACCAGAGTCGGTACCAAGAAGACCCGTCGCTGCAAGCAAAAAAACACACGGAGGTTCACGACACAATCAAACCAACACAATCAAACAAACACAATCAAACCAACACAATCAAACAAACACAATCAAACAAACACAATCAAACAAACACAATCAAACAAAAACAATCAAACAAACACAATCAAACAAACACAATCAAACAAACACAATCAAACAAACACAATCAAACAAACACAATCAAACAAACACAATCAAACAAACACAATCAAACAAACACAATCAAACAAACACAATCAAACAAACACACAACAAAATGTTGACCTTTCCCTGAAGAGTCCATTTTAAAACTCAAACATACTCTGATACCTCCGCCGTACACAAGCCGTACACAAACGAAACCTTCCCCCCATAAAAAGCCCCACATGGCTCATGAGCCGCGCTGTGTACTCGTCCAGATAATTGCCGTGTTCGATAGACGCCACGCCGCATTTCACGGCGCGCTGTATGGCGGCGGGGGTGTAGGCGTGGGCGCACACGTAGGTCCCGGCCGCACCCGCCTCCTCCACGATCGCTTTGAGCTCCGCCTCGGAGAACTGCGTGTTGGTCAACCTGGGTCGTGATTTTTGAAGCAGGAGAAGGAGAAGGCAAAACAACAACATTATGCATCAGAAAAGAAAAAGAAAGAAAAGGGGAAGTGAAGCCCTAAGTCAGGTGACAAGATGTGGAAGTCGGAAATGAAATGACACCCCCCCCGCACCAGCACTGGCATGTTGGCAGCAGCCTGCCAACAGCTGCAGAACCCAGAAAGCACTAGCAGCTGATCTCAGCTGGGAATTCTTGTCAGGAGTTTCGAGTTTTAAATTTGTTCACTACTTTTACCCTCTGTAGCAGCCGGTACACAGTACGGTGCTATAAATACGCGCAGAGCGCGACCACCAGCAACTCGAGAGACCTTTTCAGCGGTCAGCTGCTACACCCTCCCTCTCTAGATTTTCGAGGGTTCGGAAGACGACC